CAAATCCCGAGCCCGGCTCGAATTTATTGCGGGCCGGGCTTTTTGGCCCGAGGTTAAGCCCGCGGGCCTATATACCTGTTCAAGCCCGTCCGGGGGCCGGGCCAGCCCGGCCCGTCGGGCCACCCGGCCCATGAACAGGTCTACCAGCCACCATCAGTTCCTCCAACCTCAACTTTTGCTCATCAGGTAATCGGGCCTCAGCATACCATGCTTCAGCTCCAGGTAATACAGAACATTACTTGGTAATAAATTCAGGAGAATCTAACCATATGACAGGCTTACTACCTATCATTTAGCTTCCAGCAGAGACAGTGTCCATTGTCAATGGCTCTTTTGTTCCTATTTCTAGCAAGGGAGACATCAAATTGTCTAATGCCATTTCCTTATCTTTGGTCTTGCATATTCCTAAACTTAGTACTAACTTGCTTTCAGTTAATAGCATTACAAAAAACCAAAATTGTTCAGTGACCTTTTTCCCTGATCGATGTGTGTTTTTAAGGATTTGGAGATAAGGAAGGTGATTGGGACTGGCCGTGAGACGAATGGAATCTATCTAGTTGGAGGGAGCTCTCACTGGGAAGATAGTGAAGCTAGGAGGTCTTTTATTTCTTAGGTTATTAGTCAAGTTATGCTTTGGCATAATCGTTTAGGTCATTTATCTTTTCGGGCTTTGAAGAGTTTGTTTCCCAGTTTGTTTGAGTATGTTCAGATGTCCAGTTTAAAATGTGAGAGTTGTGAGCTTGCAAAACATTGTAGAACAACCTATTCATTGAGTAATAAAATAAGCAGTATTCCTTTTGAAATTGTGCATACCGATGTATGGGGACCTTATCATACCACTGCTATGAGGGGATACAAATATTTCTTGTTGTTTGTTGATGATTATACCTGTTTTTCTTGGGTTTACCTTATGCATTCTCGAGATGAGGTTCCAGTATTGACCCGGATCTTTCATTAAATGATTTTAACTCAGTTTGGAGTTAAAATCAAAATTTTTAGATCCGATAATGCGAAAGAATATTTTGCAAAACCTTTAGCCTCTTATCTTCTTGACCATGGAATTATCCATCAAAGTACTTGCCCTCATACACCATAGCAGAATGGAGTTGCCAAGAGAAAGAATAGGCACATATTGGAGGTGGCTAGAAGCATTATGTTTAACTCCAATGTGCCTATACGTTTCTGGAGGATGTTATTCTTACAACAGTATATCTCATTAATCGAATTCCTTCACGGGTTCTTGACATGAAATCTCCCTTAACCCTTTTATATCGGGATAAAGAGTTGTTTACCGTTCCCCTTAAAACCTTTGGTTGTACTTGTTTTGTTCAGATTCTTGGCCTTCATCATTCAAAATTTGATCCTAAGGCCTCAAAATGTATTTTCCTTGGTTATGCACAAGCTCAAAAGGAATATTGCTGCTATGAACCTACTTCTGGGAGGAGATTTGTCTCTATGGATGTCACTTTCTTTGAGGATGTACCCTATTATCCTAGGGTTTCTCCTCAGGGGGAGAATAGTGAGGTTGGGGTTAACTCATCAAAAGTTCCTTTACCTGTCCCATTGAGTGAAGAAGGATGTAATGGGGAGGGTTGTCAGAGGTGTCGGGATTTGAGAGTCTATCACAGACGGTGGAAGCAGGTTGATTTTGGTCATCAGCAGTCCAGGCCAGCCCCAGTTCCTTCTGCGGATCCAGATCCAAGTACCACAATCCCTTTATTAGATCTAGATTCCATTGATCCAGGTACCACAGTCCCTTTATCAGATCTAGATTCCATTGATCCAGGTACCACAGTCCCTTTATCAGATCCAAATTCCACTGAGATACCTTCCACTGTTGAACCCTTACCTCCATTGGATGACCTTGACCTCCCCGTTGCAATCCGTAAAGGCAAACAGCATTGCATCATATCCACAGCTCACTGCATTTCCCAATTCTTGTCCTATGATCACATCTCCCCTTCTTACAGGTCCTTTATTGCATCCATTGTTGAGATTCCTATCCCAAAACAGTGCAAGAAGCCTTGTCAGTTCCTGAGTGGAAAGAGGCAATGAAGGTTGAAATGGATTCTCTTCTAAGAAATAATAATTGGGAAGCTAGTTGACCAGCATAAAGGGAAGAAACCAGTTGGATGTAGATGAGTGTTTATTGTAAAACATAATGCTGATGGTTCCATTGAAAGGTATAAGGCCCGATTAGTTGCAAAGGGATTTACTCAGACTTATGGTATAGACTACCTGGAGACTTTTG